GTCTTATTTTTCATTTGCATCTCTTGAATGGCCAGTGATGCTGAACATTTCTTCATATATGTATTTCCTCTTTGTATTTCTTCATCTGAGAAGTGTGTATTTATTTCAAATTTACTTTTTTGGATTGGGTCTTTAAACCTAGGGTACTCTTATTTTTTCAATTCTTTATATGTTCTAGATATTATTCCTTTGTATGAGAATAGCTGGCAAAAGGTTTTTCCCACTCTGTGGGTTGTCTGTTTGCTTTAATAGTGTTTTGTTTTGCTGTGCAAAAGCTTTTAATAACATGGGATCTCAGATGTTGATTCTTTGTACTATTTCCTATTTGATCAGGATTTTGTTCATGACGTCTTTGACTACACTGATGTCTTCAACAGTTCTATTTATTCTATCTTCCACCCAATTTAATGTTTTGTTTTAATATTTAGATCTTTGATTTATTTTAATTTTAGGTTAGTACTTGATGAGAGGTATGGGTCTAGCTTTAATCATGTGTGTAAAACCAATTTTTCCAGCCCCATTTGTTAAAGAGACTACCTTTTTTCCAGTGAAGGTGTTTGGTGTTTTGCCAAAGACAGTGGCTGAGTGTGTTTGGAGCTGTTTCTGCATCTTTAAATCTACTTAGTTGACCATTGGTTGTGTTTTTTGCCCAGTGTCATACTGGTTTTATTATCAAAAAAGCTTTGCAGTATAATTTCAAGTCAGGGATTTTTGATGCCCCCCCCCTTATCTTGCCCTTGTTGACCAGAATTGCTTTTGCTATTCTAGGTCTCTTCTAGTTCCAAATGAATTTTAGGATTATTTACTCCAATTCAGTGATATGTGGTATTGGTATTTTGTTTAAGATTGCATTAAATCTGGATAGCACTTTTGTAATTATGGCCATTTTCACTATATTTGTTCTTCCTATCCAAGATCAAGGGATAGCTTTCCATTTTCTGATATCCTCTTCAATCTTCTTTTTCAGAGTACTCTAGTTTTCAATGTAAAGATCTTTTACTTCCTTTATTAGACTGATTTCTAAGTCTATCATTTTTCAATGCTATTGTGAAGTATGGGGTTTCCTTAAATTTTCTCTCAGTGAGTGCGTTATTTGTGTACAGGAATGCTATTATTTTTGAACATTTACATCCAGCAACAATACTGAATTTGGTTATTAAATTTAGCAGTCTTTTGTGGAGTTTCTGGGGTCTTCTACACAGAGCATCATGTCATCTGCAAATAATGATAATTTAACTTTTCCCTTTCCTATTCTTATTCATTTTATTTCTTATCCTTGTCTCAATACTCTGGCTAATGTTCCTAAAACTATACTGAATAGGAGTAGAGATAGTAGATATCCCTGTCTTGTTCCTCATTTTAGTGTGAAAGCTTTCAGTTTTTGACCATTTACTATGATACTGATTATTTGTTTATCAAAGATGGCTGTCATCAGATTGCAATAAAGACAATCTATTGTATCTGATTTTTTAATCATGACTTTGTCAAATGGTTTTCCTGCATCTATTTAGATCATTGTCCTTGATTCTATTTATATAATATATTATATTTATTCATTTATTTGTGTTGAACCATCCCCATATCCATGGGATGAGTCCTACTTGGCCATGGTGTATAGTCTTTAGGATTTCCTGCATTCTGTTTGCCATGTGTTTCTTGTAGGCAACATATTGTTGGATTTTGCTTCTTGATCCATCCTGGCAATATGTTTCTTTTAATTGGTGTATTGGGATCTTTTTCTTTCAAGGTTATAACTGATATGTAATGACTTTGCCCTGTCACCTAATGTTCTTGTTGTTGGTTCTCTTTCTTTCTACTCTGTTTAATTATTTGCCTTTCCTGGTTGATTCATGCCAGTGAGGTTGATGGAATTGTAGTCTTTGTTATCTCTTTTAAGAATATCCCTCATAAAACTTTCAAGTGCTAGTTTGGTGGTGATGAATTTCTTTAGGTATGGTTTGTCATAGGAGTCTTATTTCTCTATAAATTTTGAAAGGTAGTTTTGAGGGGTATATCAATTTGGGTTGGAAGTTGTTTTCTTTTAGGGCTTAAAATACGTCACTCCAAGCTTTCTTTGATTTAAGAGCTTGAGTTGAGAAATCTGATGTTGTTCTGATGGGCTTTCCTTTGTAAGTGATTTCTTTCTCTTGCTTTAAATGCTTTTAATATTCTCTTCTTATGTATCATTTCTGGAATCTTGACTATTATATGCTTGATGTAGAATTTTGTCTAATAAGTATTCTATATGCCTCACTTATCTGTACATCAAATTCTATTTCTTGCTTGGGAAGTTTTCTGGCATTACTTCTCTGAACAGGAGTTTTATGTAAGTTGTGCTATCTCCTTGATATTCATTGAATTTGATCAGTTTTTTTGTTATTCTTCTGTGCAGCATCTAGCAGATATTGGATTGATATGTTGTTTCCCAATGCTATTTTTTTTGAACATTATTCTTTTCATGATTGCTAGTCACAGACCTGTCTTCTTGATTTGACATTCTGTCCTCGTATTCCATTCATTTTCCTGGGTATACTTTAATTTTTAATATCTTGGATATCTGTTTAAATCTGTTTTATGTGTTCCATTTCCATCCTACATTAAGCATTCATAGTTCATTTTCCTGAGCTCCTCTACTTTTTAAAAATCTGTATCTACTCAAGATTCACTAACCATGTACTTCATTATGGTAATCACCTGCTTAGATATCTGACCAATCATTTCCAACTTGATGTTTTCTAAAATCTCATTTATCTGCTTTGTTACTTCCATTGTTACCATTTCAGAGAGTTTAGGTGAGTGGTTTTTAAAATTTTCCACCTAATTGCCTCCTGTATTTGACTTGGATAAGCTAAAAGTCTGGAGTTGCATTTTGCTTCCAC